TATTTGTTGCCAATGAAGCCGCAAGACCATATAAATGAGGAGGCCCCTAACAGTTCAAGAATAAAAGCCAACTTCACTTCAAGTATATTCCACTACACCGAACATTCCGTAGAGAGATTATATTGACAACTTTATGTAATTGATAAGGCTGAGACAACTAACTGACATCCCCCATGTCTAAGAAATCCAGTTTTAACAGTAACCCCATAACCAATTTCTCAAAACTGTGCTAGAGGGTTATTCATTGGCACAGAAGTACAATATGAACTGACGCGACGTGATGAAGGAAAAATCAAACTTACACTGTAACGTATATACCTCCCTTTGAAGTTAAAACGTGTCTTCCCAACAAACAGATTTTTTTTTTTTTTTTCAAATAAAATCATAGATTAATCTGCATTACACTGATGAAATCATGAAAGTGTTTGGTTAACTTCAAAAGATCCACCAATACGATTTTAATACTATTTAAAGGTTCTTCCAAAGGAAGAGATGCCAGATAACATACTATCTCCGATGACGTACGGTATGGGAAATATTTTATTCATTGAATGATCAACCATATTTGGTAACTAACGCAATTAATATCATTATTGTTTTTACACTTATTAATCTTTAAACAATGCTAAATGCTTAAAATACAGGTAGCGGCAAAATGATCTGACGGTTTTCTTTGCTGCCCTGTCAAGTGAGTGATTGGCGTAGGGTGGTGGAAATAGAGGTGTTACAAAGCCAACGTGTGAACATTTTTAGTAGCCACGGAGCCGTGGGACAGCTGAGCACCATGACTTTGTAGTAGAAGTGTTTTTAAAAGTGGCAGTTCCTGTGTCGCTGTTCAGTACACGTTTCAATGTGGGTCAATGAAGAAAAGTCCCTACTCGAAACACCATTTTGCTGTAGGTGGGTAACTTTAGAGCTACTAGTTCAGCATTGAAACTAAAATCTGACTACTTGGTGTGAAACTAAAGAGAGTGAGAAAGACTATGTGGCGTGATTGAAAGTGTGATTCGTCACTCATAATGACAACTTTGTCATCACTACTTGTTCTGAAAAAGAGATGCGCTTTGCATAACCACTGGGCTTCAACTGTTGCAGTTGCACGATTGCCATTTTATATGAATGAAAATGCAGATGGTATTGTAATACTCTTCTACTGAGCGGCCAGACAAGTGCAGAGCTGCAGCTTATTTACGTTTAGGCTGCTGAGGACTAACTTCCACAGCGTATCTCACTCTCTTGGCGCTCTCTGGTGTCCGAGCTGACATTGGACAGCCTGTTGACTTTTTTCAATGCTATACTAGTAGCTCTAAAGTTACCTACTCACAGCAAAATGGTTTTTTGAGTTGGGACTTTTCCCCTTGGACCCATATTGAAAAGTGTACTGAACAGCTACACAGGAATTTCCACTTTTAAAAACACTTCTACTACAAATACATGTTTCTCAGCTATCCCACGGCTCCATGGCTACTAAAAATGTTCACACGTTGGCTTTGTAACGCCCCTATTCCCACCACCCTACGCCACTCATTCGCTCGACAGGGCGGCAAAGAAAACCGTCAGATCATTTTGCCGCTCCCTGTATGTATAATTTCACTCAATTTATCACAGTTAATGAATTAGCGTAAGCCTTGAAAGTAACCGTCGATTTCAATGGGTTTCACCTAGTTTATATATATTGTTATATGATGAGATTTAAATTTTGATGTAGCTTGGAATTGCCATACCTTTAGAACGATATGCTCTTTGACATATGATGCTATTTGAGATATTTTAGTGTGTACTATAAAACTGGCCTATATTAACATTTTTTTAATGTTTGTTTTTGTGATTTATTATTGTAATATTACGTATCAAAGTAAAGCTTATTAGATCATAAGGAATGCAAAATTTTAATCAGAATAGAGATACTGTAAAACCTTGACAAAGGTGGTGTTGAACTACAGCCTAACCTTGATACAACAAACCTAGATATAAAAGATTCCTTGATACAACAAACTTTTTAAAATCCCCTAGTGGTCTCCATAAGACGCAAAGTTCAGAATCCCCTCTTTCTAACAGTATCAAAATTATTACACTTCTGAATCATTTTCATTGTGTAATAAGCATTTGGAAAAAAAAAATCCAAACCGCCATCGAAACGATCTGCTCAAGTCAAACGTCAACATGTCTCATGGTAAATGCGCGATCGTCAATGTTAGACAGTTAAATCTGTAAATGATTAATTCATCAGCTGATTTATTATTATTAAGTTTGTTAGTAAATATTCTATTTACATTCTATTTACATTGATGTGTTTAAGAATTGAATAAAATGGTTCTTTTGTAATTTGAATATCATTTAGTGTAATTCTATATTGGCGACGATGAGTAAACAAACCAAAAGAAGAAATAGCTATTTCAACGAAGAAGAGAAGTATGAAACTAAAGAAGACACATTACAATCAAAGATAGAGAAGTTCAAATGTCAAAGCTATGATGAGTCTAGTAGGTGGGACGATTATGAAGCACATTTTCTATTATTATGCAAGGTAAAAGGATTGGGAGAAGAATCTCAGAGAGCAGAGGATGCTCGAAGGGATCTTTTGCTTGCATATGTGGGTCCTGCACCATTAAGAAAGATTTCAAACTTTCTACTGCCTTTGAAAGTACATCAGGCTACGTGGGCAGAACTAGTTAATGGTTTCAGGTCAGTATACAAAGCTAGAAAGACTATATTTTCAGCTAGAATGGAGTTTGAAAAATGCATCAGAGAAGATAGTGAAAGCCTTTCAGAATTTGTAATACGTTTGAAAAATTTAGCAGAATTTTGCAAGTATGAGAATAAGTTTGATGAAAGAATTAGAGACAGATTTGCAGGAGGTATACATTTTCCAGAGTTTGAAGTAGAAATTAGACAACGATGGCCTGATGGTGTAAAAGAAAATGGTGACAAGTTGACATCTGAAGATATTTTTGAACTGGCCACTTCAATGGAAAGAGTTCGTTATGAGATATTCAAGAATAACGGTAAAGAGTTGGAAGTATCGCATGTAAGAAGAAACAATAAGGGGTCTAAGAGAGAAGTGAAATATAACGAAAAGACGAATCATCCATGTAGTAGATGTGGAACAAACCATGAATTTGGTAAATGCCCAGCCTATCAAAAACAGTGTTTGAATTGTAAAAAAATAGGACATTTTGCAAAGGTATGTCGGCAAAAACGAGTGAATAATTTGCATGAAAAATCAGAAGATGAAGAATCTGAATCAGACTCTCATGACATGAGGATGAACGATGTTACAAAGGAAAGAAGACATATTTGTAAAGCACGTATTTATTTAAAGTTAAATAAGGTAGCTACAAACATGGAATTTGACTCAGGAGCTTGGGCCTCAATGATAGGTAAGCCTCTTTGGGAGAAGATTGGTTCACCACAACTTGACAAGACTAATTCAAAATACATGGCATATGGAAAAAATATTTTAGACATACTTGGTGAATGTCATGTCAATGTTTCAGTAGGTAATGAGACACGTAGATTAAAAGTAGCAGTAGTAAATGGAAATGAGAAACCATTATTTGGTTTACCATGGATATTAGCTTTTAATATGGAACTTCCTCCTGACGTAACTATTAGTAAAGTGAGATGTAAGCAAAATCTAAAACAACAAAAGATGGATGATGTGAGGGTTAAGGAAGTACTAAAAGACTTTGAAGATGTATTCTCTGAAGGACATGGGAAAATAAAGGGTTATAAAGCACGAATTCACGTTCAAGAAGATGCAAACCCCCAACATTTTTCTGCGTGCAGGGTTCCATTTCCCTTGAAAAAACGAATTGAGAGTGAACTTGCAAGACTTGTCAATGAGGATATCATTGAAGAGGTAGATCCTGCTACTACAGCTATTCCGTGGGCCACTCCAACAGTCAACGTAGAGAAGGACGATGGTTCAATAAGAATTTGTGGAGATTTTCAAGTCACGTTGAATCCAAATTTGGTCCCAGAAAATGCTATTATTCCAACATTTGAGGAACTAACAAATAAAGTTGCAGGTGGACAGGAGTTTTCCAAGATAGACCTACGAGATGCTTACCTACAAATGGAGGTTGCAGAAGAACACCGAAAGTATTTAGTAATAGCAACGCATAGTGGTTATTATAGATACAAACGTTTACCTTTTGGGATATCATCCAGCCCAGGTATTTTCCAGAGATATATGGAAAGACTCTTAGCTGGAATACCACAGGTTGGAGTTCTTCTGGATGATATTATAATAACTGGAAAGAATAAGAACGAACATCTAAGAAATTTAAGAGAGGTTTTGAAGCGAATGAAAGAAGCTGGTATAAAATCAAAATCTAGCAAATGCAAATTTTTTGAGGAGTCAGTAACTTGGGACATACAATCGACCAAAATGGAATACATCCTACTGAAGAAAAAATAAAAGCCATACGAGAGGCACGGTCACCTACTAATGTCAAGGAACTCCGATCATTTTTAGGTTCTATTAACTACTATGAACGATTTATTCCGGGACTTCATGCCATTTGTAATAAACTGACTGGAACTAACTCTAAATGGAAATGGTCTGAACAAGAAGAGGTGACGTTTAAAAGAGTAAAGGAAATTCTATCAAGTAAAGACACAGTAGTACCATATGAAGAAATGAGACCATTGCTAATGGTCTGTGATGCATCAGAAAATGGATTGGGAAGTTTACTAATGCACAGTCATTTTCAACATGACTGGCGGTCACGGTATGATTGTCGACTTGTCCCAGCGCCATCTTAAACATCTCCTGAGGTCACGGAGACATGGTCATCCCCTTCTGGGTTCGCGGAATTATCATGAATATCTCTCGCAACAGCGGTGGTCCTAATTCATAGTAACTACTAACCCATTTAAGCTATGGCTGGTGAATTTTCAAGTCAATAGATAAAGTGTTTGAATATAAATCTGAAAGAAAATATCCCCACTTAGCATTGGCTGGTTTTGCCTTGAAGCTGCTTAGCCCAACTCACCACTTCTTGCACTAGACTGATAAGTTCTAGTAGACGTCTACGTAAATGAGCAATTTCATCTTTGATCTGGTTGGCATGAGACTCGTAGACCTCCTCGAGAGGTTTGAACGTGTGGCTCGTATGTGTGCCACCCCACAGAGCACATTGGTGGCAAATACAACAACGACACGTCCAGCAGTAAACTGACAGCTTTTCTTGATGTGACCGGCATCTGCAATCATTTCACTGGAATAAGCCAAATGGTTAGTCTAATGAAATTTCTTTAATTTGCTAGATTTTGTTGTTACATAGATTTTGTAAAACAGTTTTATAGAAACTATTTTAAATTTGATTTTTGCCATCATAAAACCATTGACTATTGAATAGTCAAAGATAAAACTAAAACATACTTCATATAAATTTGTTAGGGTTTTCTTTTAATTATTGATATTACTATCTACAGTATCTACCAATAGAGTAGGCCTACGTAGTAGTTTTGTTTATAAACGTGGTGTGGAATAAGTATGTTATTGTCGCTATTGTTTAAGTGCTCTACATTGTTGTACAATGGCCATTTTGTAAGGGTGAAAAGAATTTCAACATGCTTCAGGAAGAATTGTCACAATGCAAACTGTGTCTTACTGACTAATTACTGAAGCGCAGTTCAGCAGAATGTCAATCAGCAGGTTGACTAAAGCTCTTACCGCATTAAGAGTTTTTTTTATCAAGCGTTCTTGTTGTTTATTTTTCACATTTTCTTAAGTGTTCATTAAGTAGTGAGTACCTGTTGGTTTCTTATTTATAACTGTCTCTCGTAAACAAAATTATTCAATCCAATGTAAAATCATGTTACAATGGGCAGTGTTGGGGAAGCTACTTTTAAAATGTAGCTACAACTACTGCTACATTTCCAAAAAAGTAGCTAAGCTACAGCTACAGCTACAGTTCAGAGAAAGTAGCTAGCTACAACTACAGCTACAATGAAATGTAGCTATAGCTACAATTTTAGCTACTTTTCCAAAGACGTTACTTTTATTCCACGCACATAGGTAAATGTAAAATTAATTGTAAATATAAACCTAACATTACAACAACAGAACCAAAATAAGTTAGTTGGGTGTTCCATCATATTTAGTACTTATTTTTAAATATTGTATTATTTTTGAGCATCTTATATGTAAATTTCATTAAGTTCAAAGGACATACAACCAAACTATATTTTAAAAGCCCATTTTATTTCTTTAATATACATTCATTTATAGATGTCTTTTATATACCATTAAAAACAATAAAACTGTAAAACGATTATTTAAAAATACTTTTTTGTGTTACAGAGCCTAGCCTACTGAAATTGGAGTTTATTGCCTTTCTTATTTTTTTAATGTTAAAAACAACATTGCTATAACTTTTAACCATAGTAATATGTTACTTGTTCTAAGAATAACACTTTTCAATGTCAAGAAATCGTCCTTTGTCATTATGCATAGGCCAAATTGTGCTTTTACAAACGTTGGTGCAGAAAACAGTATTCATTAACTTATCCTGAAATCGGCTTTTAATTTAAACAAGTTGAAAATTGTTAAGTAAAAATTACATTTAGGCGTACTTGGCTTTGTAACAAGTTGGCTATAGTAGGCTTGTTCTTACAAGGACTAAACAGATATATTCCTATTAATTGAACTTGGTGTTTGTATTACAGTAATCCAATAGCATAGCCTAGGAATAGTCCTTGACAAGAGCTATTAGCAGGAGCAAACTACTGTATGCTACTTTTTCAATGCAAGTTTCATGTTATGGAGATTTTTTCGTTACAATTATTATGTATTCTAGGCATATCTTAAATCTCATCAAGAAATTTCCTCTACGTTCATTTAGTAAACCTTTGAAAAATCTTTGTAATCTAACCAAGGAGGGGTTTGTGATGATGAACCACAATCAACAGCTGAAGCAAAGGTTGATAGACCAGCTTTTTCATTATTTTAAGGTTTAGTGTTGGTTTTCATTAAAACCCAAGTTTAAACTAAATTGATACAATAAAGAAACTAAATTGATAACTAATTTCCCTGTCAATCACTTGCAAGCATTCAATAGCTTCTCTTGTCACCGGTAACGTTCAAACGGCGTCTGCATCTAGCGATTTTATTTTATCTGACTGTAATCATAGAGTAGCAAATGAAGGAAATGAGAGCCAAAAATGTGGATAACACTCAGATAATGGCCTCCATGTCCACGCAACGTTGTAATAGGTAATGAAACGACTGTGACCAGGTGTATGAAGCCAAGAAAGTAGGCCTAATTTTCTTGAAAATTTCAGTTTGAAAAAGGTTGTTTCACGTAAGGTTGTGATTAAAATCACTATCTCAAACAATGTTAATGTAGCCAGAAAAGTAGCTTAAATTCCGCTACAACTACTTTAAAAATGTAGCTACAGCTAAAGCTACAAAATCTTAAAAGTAGCGTAGCTACAGCTAACGCTACAAAAAAAGTAGCGCGCTACTGTAGCGTCGCTACTTGTAGCGCGCTATTTCCCAACACTAACAATGGGATACATCGTTATATCTTGCAAGAATGAAAATGAAATGGCTAAGAAACTGACACTGAACTACAACATTGAACTCATTATCATGGGCTTAACAACTTGTCATGAACTTAACACACATTGTTGCTTAATCTATATCTATAAAAGAGGAAGTATGTATGTATGTATATACCCTATGGACTCCAAAACCGCTCGACAGATTGTAATGAAGCTTTCAGGCATTATTGAGCATTATTCAAGGATGTCCAATGTCAGGCTTATGGAACTACAATTTTTACAAATAAATATAATTTAAAAGCAGATGTTTCTTTCACCAATTGTTTTCTAGGTTTGAACAATCAATCACAACATTCTGTATTAGTCATGATTTGAAATAGTGCCACACTGTTTCCACAGAATGCAGCACAGAAATTATTTTACTTTTGTATAAGTCCAAATTTATTAAACCTCAATCGTAGCACACCTGTGTACTCAACGACATTTAAATTAAATTCTCCACTATTAAGTATGTAGACATAAAAATAAAAACCTTTATTGAAGTATTATCCTACTATATAATATTATAAATGAGAAAGTTTGGATGTATGTATGTTTGTGACTAGTGAACGCGAAAAATACTGGTTGTAATTTCATTGGTGAGGTAGCCTCTGGATCACTAAATTTAAGCTAAAAAGTTTTAAGTTACCTGGCTTCGTCAAGTGATCCTTCTTTAGTATTTCACTACTATAGTTTCGGACTTGGAAATAAGTCCATCTTCAGGTTAACAAAAACGTCAATAGGTCATCTAACCAATTTGGTTAGATTCGTCGATACACTTAAAACACATACACGAACACGAAAAACACAAAAACCGAATATAATACTGTAAAAAGCTGGCCAGTCCTCCGTGATTAATTACACTGGCCAGCTTTTTACAGTATTATATTCGTTTTTTGTGTTTTTCGTGTTCGTGTATGTGTTTTAAGTGTATCGACGAATCTAACCAAATTGGTTAGATGACCTATTGACGTTTTTGTTAACCTGAAGATGGACTTATTTTCAAGTCCGAAACTATAGTAGTGAAATACTAAAGAAGGATCACTTGACGAAGCCAGGTAACTTAAAACTTTTTAGCTCACATTTCCGATTAACATAGGCATATTGTTATCTCTAAACTCCTTTCAGGCTCCGCCCCAGTGGCTCTGGAGTTTCCCATGTTAATCTTATGGGAATTCACATCTAAAAGGAATTAAAAAAGTTTTTCAGCTGATTCGACCAAACAAGTTGGTTCTATGATATTCAATAGCATTAAAAAGTTATAAGGTTTACCAACAGGGTGCAGCACTATTATATTTTTTTGCAATTATGATAACAGCTAATTTGAAGTAAGCAGCATCAAAAAGCTGTGATACACAATAAGAACTGTCAAAGTGGGATTGTTTACAGTAATGTTTATGTTTTCAATTTAATACATAATTTGTGATATTGCGTGAATGTTTGATCATTTATTTTTTTTTTAGGTACAGTGATAGAACAGAATGGCTATGGTACCACCTAGGTAATACTATAGCATACCGTAAATATAAAGAACCAAATTATCTCAAGCCTTATCCTCCCACATTGCAAACGCAAAGCTAGAGTATAACTGCAATAAGCATTTTATACTTTTACGCCAACCCCGTACGAAGAACGGGTACTCGGCTAGTAAACAATAAAAGGGACGGCAATATTTTTATCTTTTGTTCTATACCCACACAATCTAACATAAATTATTAAGTGAATAATAATTGTGCGTGCTATCTCAGGTATTCAAATGCCTCCTAATTTGTCATCAACCCACCACATTACTGTCATTAAAAGAAGGAACTTCAATAAGACTAATGCGAAACTTAAATACACCCAAGCTGAATGTCATATAATTCCTTTTAGTCCAGGACCTGACTAGGGTTCTGTGTGCATGTCGTGTATAGAGAATTTTGCTTTTGCATTTCAATATAGGTGTCTTAGGAAGTGTTTTCCACTCGGGTGTCAAGTTCGCACCTGGTACGTTTTCGAGCTATGACGTCATCAAGATGGCGACTCGGCAATTTTAAAATGCGTATATTTCGCAAACCGTTAAACGGATCGGGATGATTCTTTAGTATTATTTCTTAAGTAGGTAGGCCGTGTATTCTAGGGAAAAGTACCGGTATCAAGGATCGTCGTCGAAAAGGTTGTTATGAATAATTGGGTAGGCGTACGTACCCAAGAGATGGGCTATGGGCCTATTGGCTGTATGGTCCAGCGATTGCATCACACGGTGAGTAGGTACTATTCACTATATATATATAGTCAATGGTAGGAACAGAAAATGACACATTAGAAAAGCGAGTTTAGCATCATCCGTAAACCTCTGTTACAATCACCCACTGCAGTTGTGATTTTTTACTTTACACTTTACACAACCGCCATTGAAGTGCCGTCAATGAGTGGAAACCATGTTTCTAAGCTATTGGCGACGATCATTATTAAATTACGTTTCCCAGCCGTATACAACACTGATTCAAGGTCTTCTTTCTGGTTATCAAAACTCAAGAACAATTTAAACACAAAGAATCTCTGGTTCCTGAACTGGATGATGCCTAGTTATTTAATTTCATTTACGGTTACACTATTACACTATATTATTGCACTTTCGATTAATTAAATCCGTTATGTAAGAAAAACAATTTAATCTCACTTGGTTGGGATTTGCATTCAAAACGTGATTGAAAAAGGTTGCGGTATTTGTAAACAACATTTGTAAACATATCAGTGACAGCTAGGAAAAATAATCTTGATCCGAACAGCTGTTTGTTATTTCATAGATGATTATGCAATAAAAATTGGACAAAAACTTGACATAAATCGCACAAAACTACATTTTTGAACGTTCGTAATATTATTTACAAAGTAGTGAGGCCATATTTTAATGGCTAAAGACAATCTCGCCAATCCAGTGAATACATTAAAATTACTTGGATCTTGATAGGTACTGTACTCTCGTTTTCCAGGAGAAGATAGCGTAAAATGCCATCTTGAGTGTTACAGACCTGCAACACAACGCAACGTTCTGTCTGAAAGACAGACAGACAGACAGAAATTGAGATAAGACTCGTTTCTGCTTATTTAATGTATAAGACGTAAAAATAACCTAAAAATATATCATTCTGAGCAATGTACAGACAAAACTCTAATTTTATTTATATAGACAATCCGTGGTAATGATCAGGATGAACAAGACAGGAACTTGAGCAATTTTATGACAGCTGTTTCCAAATATAATCTTACTTTGAACAAACATAAATGCAAGTTTTCTACAGCCATGATCCATCTATTAGTTTATGTCATCAGTCATAAATCAATAAGACTAGATCCAGATCGTCTGCAACCACTTTGAGATCTTCCCATTCCAACCAACTCAAACTCTCTGTGAGCTCTTGGTATGGTCTCACACTATTCACAATTCATTCCTAAGTTTTCTGAGAAGGTGAGCTGTTTAAACAAAAGTTCATTTCCAACAAATGAAGAAGCTAAATGTGTATTCCAAAGACTTAAAGAAGACATTGTTAATGCAGGAACTTCTTCGATTGACTGTGATGGGTTGTTAACAGTTGAAACTGATGCATCAAATCATGCAATAGGAGCAGCTTTGACAATTGATGGTAGACCCGTAGCGTTTTTCTCTAGAACACTAACAAACTCGGAACAGAAAAATTCATCTATTGAGAAAGAAGCATATGCAATAGTTGAAGCGTTAAGACTCTCACTTTCGCCTTATAACAGAGCAACAATCTGTAGCATTCATGTTCAGTGATCGGAATGCAAGCAACATCAAGGATGATAAAATAATGAGATGGATAATTGAGTTATCTTGTTATAAGTATGAGATTATTTACAGAGCTGGAAAAGAGAACAAAACAGCAGATGCTTTATCCAGGGTGGGTTCATCGATGGAAGGAAGTTTATCAAACCTTGTATCACTACACGACGCTTTAGGTCATCCAGGAGTGTCTCGAATGTATCACTGGACTCGGAGTAAAAACTTGCCTTAATCAATGGATGAGATCAGAAAAGTAAAGTTTTTGTTTACTATGATGTTAGTTATGTTTCATATTGTTAGTTCTATATCATGCTAGATTCTATGTTCAATAAAGCATAACTAAAGGTAATTTTGTTTATTCATTCAATCTACAACACTGTGCAACGGAATTAGACTGACGATTAAAAAAATGACACCAAACTTGATCGCAGCAACAATCATCTGTGGTAAGTTTAAAGGTGAATTAGTAATCTTAATCCCTAGAATACCAATGATTTCATCCTAATTCATCTGCAGAAGAATTTTATTTTGCTCTTACCCTGTGTCTATGTCTAACATCCAAACACAGAAACCTTGCCTAAAATGGTACCTATCTTGACAAATTATTTGCAGTGGCCTATATTACGGACCGTGGCCCACTGGGTTGGTAATATTATTCAAAATAACACAACATTTTGGCTGTAAATATGGCCCAATGAATAACGACAGAAAGGTCATATTCCTTTTAAACTAGATCACATCATCCTTTATAAGATACATTGGTTAACAATGCATGTAAACAAAATATGTACAGTTTCACTCAATTTATCGCAGTTAGATGAATTGGCGTAAACCTTGAAAGTAACCGTCGATTTTGATGGGTTTCACCTATTAGTTGTTTAACATTTGAGGAACTCTTTGAATAGACTAGCCAAAGGTTTAATAAAAAAATAATGTCAAGCTTAAAATTAAATAACAGGATTTATAGAATTTAATTATAAATAAAACATTAAAAATGTACAAAACATGTAATTTTAGTCAATAACAAGGTCTTCATTAAAATTTCACAACAAAAAACGATATATATATATATATATATATAATATCTAACATTTAAAAATCAACAAGATTAACATGGAGAAGGAACTTTTTTTCTATTGATCTTTCCAAAACCCCATTTGTTGCAGGTTCTATAGAGGCGGTAGGCAACAGGGTCTTGAGCTTTAAATGATTTTTGCCTGTCAGAATATGATTTTGAGTCAAACTTTTGGTTCATTTTTTGTGACAAATCAGGATACAATAAGTCAAGTCTTGATCGAATTTGACGTCCAATGAAGAGATGTGAAGGAGACTGTCCTGTAAGTAGTACTATGTGGAACTCTTCGATAGGCCAATAAATATCTCTGCAATTTCAATTCAATTGAGCCTTCCTCAAAGTGCATGGTTCTGATGGTATCTTTCAAGTCTCGTACATAGCGTTCTACTTGGCCATTAGTAGCAGGATGGTAAGGTGTTGATCTCTTGTGCCTAATTCCGTTTGATTTAAGATTTTTTTCAAACTCTAATGAAACAAATTGTCTTCCGTTGTCTGACACTAATATGTCAGGGATTCCAAAAGAGCCAAAGAATTTCCACAAAGCCTCAATGGTTTTATATGAATTTATACTTGTAAGTGTTATAATCTCTGGCCATTTACTGTAGGTATCCACAATTAGGAGAAAATAATGGCCATAAAATGGTAGAACATATTTTAATGTATTTATCAAAGTATAGTTTAACCAACTTTTATTCAGCATAATTTAAAAACAAAGTGAAGAAGTAAGAAGTGTAACCAGCTGATATAATAGTTATAAAATAAATATAAGCAATAAGTAAATGTAGACATTTAGGATGTAACAATATGAAAGAGGGTGGTATATCTTACTGACCTGTCCCTGTCTCCATCATCAACTCTAGGCTGAGATACTCCTGCTGCTTGTAGAGTGTCAAGTTGTTGAGTCACTTCTTCTACCCAGCGACAGTTGACTAACTCGTGGAGGTGTAGAGAAGCTCGACAATGTGGACACTGGGATCTGCACAATATTATTGCTTTAGATCAACTACAGGAAACCAAAGCCTGCCAACCAAATAAAGCAAAGTTAAGGTTACAATAGTAGGCCTACCTATGATACTGTCAAACAATCTTGTGTAGGTAGTCCCACTACAACTGTGTGGTACTAAATATGAGAATATCATCAGGTTCAAACACATCAAGCTCCCTTATCCCAGGAAGTAGGAGTCGTCATAGTGGTTGGACAAGATTACTCGATATAGGGGATAATAGTTCTGTCTGATCCCTCTCCCATCAAAACTTAATCTCAAAAGTACTGAGGCATTCCAAGTACATCTGGGGGTTTAATTGGCATAAAACTATTACCGTATGCTAAATTCCAATGAAAAACAGACAGAATCTCAATTTTTTTAGAAGTAGTATCGAAAAAGATAAAAATCATTGTCACACAGCCATTTTTAAAGTAATACAGTCGAACCTCATTAGTACAAACCTCAGTAAAACAAATTCCTTAATAAGAAATTTTTTTTTAATCCCCCAGAAGTTTTCATAAAGGTCAATGCTAAAAACACCTCTAGGCCTATACAAAATAGAAATTAGGTTAAAAACCACCATTTATGACGAATTTGTTTGTGACATGGGCTAAGACTGATTAACCTCCATACAATGAGTATTCTTAGCAAAAACCTCTACAAGACGAATGCAACCTCTATAAGACGAATTTCATGATTATAACCTCTAAACAGAAGCTAGTCTCAACATAAATCCCCCGTCCATCAATCTTTTTTCCTCAGTCATTGTTTGGCACGAGGAGAAACCTCTACAAGACAAATAAATTCAGTATTAAACCTCGATAAAGACCTCTTTATTAAGAATACCTGGATAATAAAATTTTTTCCACTGCCCCATGAAATTTGTCTTATAGAGGTTCGACACATGATGTTGTTTGTATCATATTTTTATCTGCTGTCTGTGTGTTTTGTCTGCTCTGCATTGGTAAGAGTAAGTGGAACAACGGGTTTTAATGACTATAGGGGAGAAAAATTCTGTGCGAGTAGCACTTAAACTAAGCAAGATCATAAAAGAGTATCTTATTTTTGTTTCTGAGTCGTGGTTAGGTGCTCGACCCACATTCGGGTAGAAGATAACAATAATATCCTTTTATTGTTATCTTCCAAAAGTGACCAATAAATACATAAGGCCCATGTTACATTTCTAAAAAATGTAATTCACGTAGAGAAAAGCCCGTTAGACTGATTTGTACCATATCAGATTTATACCTTCCCATAGTTAGTTACTATGACCAAAGACAAATAGAATAAATATAGACTGTCAAAAGAAGGTTCCGCAACGTGCCGCTAGAGCGTGCTCGGTGTTCGATTCGCTGCAGTCTTCGACTCCTCGGCGTCTGCTACCAGCACTTCCACACTTGCGCTGCAGCGGTAACGCCATAACTAGATGGCACTCCTAGTGGTGGATGCCAGAACATATGCTAACCGCAGCACTGCTGTCGGTCTATATTTAATTATTTTTTGTCTATGCTATGACTGTGCTAAATTTCATGCTGATCTCTCCAGCCTTTCCGGAGGAGTATGTGAAAAACAAAAGCTGGAGTGTATATAAAAGTGTTTTTGATAAGTTGATTTAAATTAAGTTTTGTTAGATGTTATTTTGAAAGTTTTAACTGAAAATAACTTAAAACTCACTTCAGCACAATTAATATTCCCCTTCAATGGTATATAATCGACCCCTCAACCCCAATACACATTTTTATATTTACAAACACAAACAGACATAACAAGAAAGAAGTCTATCACACATATAGCCTACAATAGAAGAAAGAATTTCAAGTATTTTGAACATATGATGACAAGAACAAAACAACAGTTTCAAGAGTTATGGAATAATGAAGAACTGAAATAAAGTGAGTGTTTGTTATTTTCAGTTTTTCAAATATTTACATCTAACAAAACTTAATTTAAATTAACTTATCAAAAACAAAAAGCTTTGATTACTTCTCAATTAAGTGTAGTCTTACCTCTGTTCTGTAAGCCAGCGCCGTATGCAGATGTAACAACACAGTTTGCTACAATGAGGGCAAAGATGGGCATCCCTCAGCTTCTCCATACAGATAAAACATCGGAACACCTCAGCCAGCGTCTTTAACAAATTGAGCAGCGTCAAAACAATGTACCAAAGACATAAAGCACAAACCATGCAGTGCAAAAATAAAATAAAATACCAGGTAAACCAAAACAATTAAGTTTGAAGAGCAAACAAATAAAAATTCTAAATGGATTTCTGTGTTATATGGACTTGGTCAAAGTTAGGCCCTTATAAAATGGCCTTATAGTTAGGCCCTTACGTGTTAAAACTGGAAAAAGATCCCTGTAGAAGCCTTAAAAATAAACAATTTTGTTTTCAAATGATGGTGGTGCTTAGAACCTAAGATTTTGCTAACATACGAATTAAATGTCTAGTTTAAATACTGTAACATTTGTGAATATGAGTACAATAAAAGTGTTTCAATGGGAGTACAAGGTCTTTAGAGTCTTAATTTACTTACGGTAACAAACAGCTCAAATGTATGTACATGTTTGGATATAAAATTAAAAGATGGACCTGATTTACTTACTTTTAGCTGACGACCATCTAGGTTCCAGCTTCTCACTTCATAGAAGTTAAAGAATTCAAGGAATAAAGAGATTTTCAAAAATTTTCAAGATTATGGAGATCAATAGGATTATGGGATTTGATTTTTTTTTTTAAACCTGTTAGAACATTAAAAATTGTATTTTGGAGTGATGTTTGAGTCTAAGGGTACATGGAAAGACCTACCAAGCAAGATAATAAACCCATGGCACTATTTAAATAAGTAGTCTTAATTTTAAATTGAATTAAAATTATTTTGTAAATTTCACTATAAATTATTATATTTTTTATCAGTTATTCTAGTAATTTTGAATTGAATAATTAATCCTATTGCTCAAAAACCGCTTTAATTATTCTGAGTAAATCATATTTATAAATTTTTGGAGCTTTGTCTCCAGACAAAAACTTTTTTTAGTGAATTTCCCTTAGGGAATAAGCTATTACCGTAGGTCTCATGGTAAGACATGGACCCATGACCGATTTACTTTTTTTTGAGGTCCCCAGAGGCCAAATATACAGGGTGTTTGTGAACTCTCTCAAAAAACTTTGCAGGACTGTTCCTTGGTTTAATACAAGAATATTTTACATTAAGGGTCGCCGGACCCTCATTTTCCGGCTATCTGTCTGTGTGTGTTTTCTATAAATATCCTTTGTTCATTATTGTTATCATTGTTCATTATTATTGTCATCATTGTTAATTATTTAAAAATGTAATAACTCAGCTGTTTGTTGTTTGAATTTGTCATTAAATTTACAAAATTTTGTTATTCTTGTGTTTATATTGTAACTCTAATGGTTTTCATGTAATTTGACGTCAAAGATTTTAGATGGCCGCCATTTTGAAACTGCTTTATTCAACAAAATGAAATTTTACATGCTTGTGTACCACAGCAAGATTCACAAATGTATCAAATTTAAAGTTTTACCTCAATTCAAACGTGAGTTATAACGTTATTTATAAAAAACATATACATACGGACAGCCAGAAAACGAGGGTCCGACGACCCATGTTTATAATGTAAAATATTCTTGTATTAACCCAAGGAACAATCCTGTGAAGTTTTTCGAGAGAGTTCACAGACACCCTGTATATAGTATGTGTCCGTTAGCACAATAACTCGAGTAAAAATGATCCGATTTTGATTAAATTCGTTATAAACGTTTAAACTAACATTTATTTTAACGATTCCAGCATGATCGGACCATGGGAACGGTGCAACAAATCCACGGGGGTTTATGGGGGGCTTTATGGGGTAAAAATGGGGTTTTTTCCCCAAAAAAAATTGGAAATTTCTTACTAAATTATTTTGTAGAGCTTTAAAAAAGAAATAATTTAGTATATTGACGCGCTGACAGTAATGACAAAAAGCCAAATGGCAATATGGCGGGGGCGCCGTTAACTAAAACGCGTATTACTTGAGAACAATTTGAGATAGAACAGTGCAACAAGTGTCAGTTTTTACTCATAAACCATCCAAGATACTGATTTAAACATAGTAACCACTTTTAAAGCTCATTTTTTTTTTTAGTAAGCTGGCACTTGTTGCACAGTACTATCTCAAATGATTCTCGAGTTATACACGTTTTAGTAAATGGCGGCGCCGCCATATTGCCTCTCCCCTCCCCCAGGGATGTCGACCAAGCTGAGGGGCGACAACATGCGTTTTCATGATCACTATAGTGCCTATAACAACAATCAGAAATAAAATTGCGTCAGCCTTTCCATGCATACTCAACCCCCTTCAGATCCTGGACTATCAGGACCAAATTGATAGGCCTACATTAACCAATTTACAAACGTTCATGTTAATGAAGAAAACTTGCACCATGAAATAGAATGTAGATGTAATGTCGAGGATAAGTATTTAAATCTTACAACAAAACTTCAAGAGTTGATTGAGAATGAATGTTCCAACACTAGGCCTACACCACTTCACCCAATTAGCAATCCATCTGAGGCGACCAATAGTTCAATTCCTGGGTCCTCATTGTTGGGTAGTATAAAGTTTACACCTTTTCACCCAGAGGAAACGGTTACAAATTTCATAAAGAGACTTGAAATATTCCTACACCTTAAAAATCTTAAGTACAGATGTTAATGCTAAAGTTTACATGCTACTAAACGCTCTTACACCCCAGTTACACCAACAACTTAATGATTTATGTGCACCTGAAAACCCACTTACAAAAGACTACAGTGAGTTAGTTCAGATACTAAAGGATTTTCTAGAACCACAGCCAAGTCAATGGGCTTTACAACACAAGTTTATTTCTCGTACTCAACAAGAACATGAATCCATAAATGAATTCTCAATAGCACTTAAGAAATTAACTAGCAACTGTGACTTTAATTGTGATTGTGGAAAGTCGGTTGCAGAGATGTTTCTTAAATTTCAGTTTATTCGTGGTATGAATGACATAGATATTCGAGCTTCTTCAAGGACGAGAGAAATGGACGTACAAAGACATTGTTAACGAAGCGTCCGCAATGGAACTATCTAAATCTGAGAGCAAAACTGTATGTCGCAAAACAATGGAACACCTTGATTTAAACAGGGTGGATTCTAATAGTAGTGATAGGAACAAGCCAAAGAAAATGTTGTAAAAAATTATATGTCAATATCTGGGACATATAATTGATGCTCAAGGTATTCATAAAACAAAGGAAAAGGTCTCTTCCATCTTAAACAGCAAAAGACCAGAAAAGGTAACAGAATTTTGCAAATTTCTTGGATTAATAAACCATGTACTACAACAAATTCATAAAAGATTTAGCAACAACCCTACACCCACTCAACCAACTACTTAAGAAAGACGCACGCTACAATTGGACCTCAAAATGGGAGAATAGTTTTCAAAGGGTCAAATCAGAACTATCAAGTGATCGCGTCCTTGTACATTATAATCCTGATTTGCCTCTGGTACTAGCAACGGATGCCTCTCTGGTGGGTCTTGGTGCTATTCTTTCACATCCTTACAGCGATGGAAGTGAGAGACCGATACGTTTTGCCTCACGTAGTTTGACAAAATGTGAACAGCACTACCGCCAAATCGACAAGGAAGACACTGGCATCTACTGGGGGCTTAAGAAGTTTTTCCCGTACTGTTATGGACGGAGATTTACTCTGATTACTGACCACAAGCCACTCGTATCCATATTCAGCCCCACAAAAACACTAGCGTCAATATCTGCACTCTTTTTATCTGGATTCTACTACAAAATTGAATGCAGAAGAAAATTGGATCATTCTAATGTTGATTTTGTTTCTCAGTTCCCAACTGAGCATGCTTCAACTAAAGACAGGGACAACTGTGACCTTTTTCAACTTAGTCAGCTCGATTCTTTTCAAATTAGTAGTTCCACAATTTCTATGTCAACAACCCACGACAAAGACCTTCAACCAATACAATCCAACCTTGATATAACGAACCTCGATATAACGAATTCCTTGATATAACGAATCTTTTTAAATCCACTAGAACTCTCCATAAGACACAATGTATATTTTACCTCTACATAATGAACAAACCATATCAACGACCTTGCTTTAACGAATTTTTCATCATCCCGTCTAAAACCAGACACCTCAATATAACGAATTTATCATTGCCAGAACCTCTACATAGCGAATTTAACCTCTACTTAACAAATTGTCTGCGTCTTTCCCTCGATACAACAAATCCCCACCCATTATTGTTTTTGAAAAAAAATCTCTTTCTTCATCAAATGAAATGGAGAAGTGACATCAACGCTTGTGCTAACTTTCTTCTGCTCCGTTTTACACATCTCTGTCTGCTGTCGTCGTTGCACGCTACGTTACAATATAGCTGTTTTCATTCACTGAGGACTGATGACAACGTTATGTTTAGTAAGCTGTGATTGGGGGATAAAGTAACTATGGTGACTTGTACAATTTTTGGATGAAGAGAAACCTAAGAAAGGAATAAAATAATTTATAAATAAAAAACTTTTTTAAACAAAACGTTTTTAAACGCTCTAAAAAGTAGAAAATAATTTACAAATAATTTATAAATATGTTGAGAGAGTATAAATACTTGTACGATTTAAAACGAAAAACGTGGGGTGCATGCAATAGATAGTTTACCTTCACCTACTGAACTAATGTATTATTATCAATTAATTGCATGCACCCAACATTTTTCGTTTTAAATCGTACAAGTATTTATACTCTCTCAACATATTTATAAATTATTTGTAAATTATTTTCTACTTTTTAGAGCGTTTAAAAACGTTTTGTTTAAAAAAGTTTTTTATTTATAAATTATTTTATACTTTTTAGTTTTAATGTGTGTGCATGATTAATTAATCATTTATAAATCGATTGACTCTTACATCCTTATATAGTGGGTTATTTACAATTAGCCAATCAAGTGCCTTGTAAACACGATCTGGTGAAATGGTATAATCTCTGGATACATTAAGGTTCTTCAGAGTTTCACTCACTAAAACAATTCCTGTGCTCGACCGAGGAAGCATTTCAGGCAGC